CTCTCTCTCTCTCTCTCTCTCTCTCTGTAATCTAAGTGGATACCCCCTCTCCGTAATAAAGTGGAGGCGTTATCCCCCCTCCTTGGTAGGTGGCTGAGGCGGCAAGGCAATGGTGGGTTCTCCTGAAGGTGGTGATGGAAATAAACTTGTCGCAGATTTTGACTTTATTACTGGTGCCTGACGCAGAGGGGCCAAGGCAGGGACACCCAAGGAGGAGCGCGCCCTGCCCAGCCAGCGAGGTCGACCGTTCGGACTCGATGACACCGTAAGCGCCACGAACAGAATACATTTTTAAGAAATTCACAATGGGAAACATGAATTAGAATGAACACAGATTTAGAAACATATGGTCACGTGACCGTTTCGTGGAGTGGGACAAGGGATACCTTATGAAGTGTGTATGGTTCACATAAACGATATGTTTTTACAACCCAAAACATTGTGGTTAGGGGACAGAATTGCAGAGTAATCATTAGATATAAAACATCCGAATATCAGTGATAAAAGCGGTTACATTCATAGTAAATCAGAATAAGCATTCTCAAAGAACATTTCAAGTATAAACATGACATATTCATACATAAAGACCTCAGAATAATACCATGGAAAACGTATGCGGGCAATAAGGGTCAGATTGTTCTGCGGTCACTTCGTCACTGTCATCTTCCTGTTCGGGGCGCAGGACACGTTGGAGAACTTGGGTAGACGATGCAGGCAGATGACAGGAGACAGAAGACAGGTAGGCATGTGACACAAGGGTCTCGATCTCGGGAAATGAGAAGGTGTGACTTAGAAAGTTACTTCTAAGTCACACACATAAGCTTGTTCGCACCGGTGACTGTTCCAAGCGCGGGTGGTCTTGACAGGAGCGGCAATGGCTATCAGTCACGGAGCTCGTCAATCGTTCCACAGGATCGCTGGAAGACGCAGTGAACTTGTCAAGCTCCGTGTCGGTCGAAAAATGACACGCATACATCGGATCTAGAAGATTCTCGACACCAGATTGTTTTATGATGAGGCGAGGATTGGGCGGAGAATCTGGGGAACGAGGTCTTGAAAGATCACGTAAGGATTCGTCATCTCGGGTGAAGAAGAACAGGGTGATGACGTCACGGGAACCGACAAGGCAAGGAGGAACTGTTCTTGCCAGGATCACCAGCTGACTCACAACATATTCAATCGACATGAATCAGCTGATGTATTATTCACTATGAATGTGATCTTATGCAGTTTCTGGACATGACGCAAAATTGGTCATCATATAATCTCTTTTCTGCATCAAAATGTATTCCAGTAATAGGTAATTTCATGCAAATATCGGATCAACATTATACCGTTACCATCTGTAGTATTAACAGCTGCAATAAAAAGAAAAAAAAGGAAGAAAGAAGGAAAAAAAAGGAAAATAAGAATAAAAAACACACACATAGAGAGAAATACAAAATGGCGCTGAAAAAAAGAAAACAAAGGAAAATACACAAATAGAGAGAGAAAAACAAAATGGCGCTGAAAAAAAAGAAAACAAAGGAAAATAAGAATTAAAAAACACACACAAATAGAGAGAGAAAATACAAAATGGCGCTGACAACATACGAAAAGTACGAATTCCGTGAAGAACGTATAGCCTGGGGGGAGAAATTGACCACATCCGATCACTTCTCCTGACGCGGGAGTGAAGCACCGCCGACATCACTCCAACATCGCTTTATTACTCTCCCCTCGCCTTCCCTCCTTCCCGTGTCATTAAGGCTTAAAGACACACCATACCGCAGCCACGTGGTAATCTCCCAACGGCTGCAGGATTCCTATCTCCAAAAACACTCGAAGGTTTCAGTGCACATGGTTTCCAATAGATATCAAATGCATTTACTGTTGACTGTGTTTATGTATGTCTGTCTCAGTGTCTGTCTGTCTCAGTGTCTATCTGTCTGTCTCAGTGTCTGCTTGTCTGTCTGTTTGTCTCTATATATCCATGTTTGTCTCTCTGTAAATCTATCTGTTTGTCTCTCACCATATTTTGCGATCTTATTTTAAAGTTTTTTTTTTAACAACTGTGCTGTTGCCGGGAAGCAATTATTTTCATTTATTTTCATTTATCACTTCATAACCTTCCTCTCCCACCGATTCGGTTTACATCACTGGATTACTATACATCTAATCCGTACTTATACATTCTCACCAATATAAAAATTCACGAAAAATATTCTCACAACATTTTGTACAGCAACCATGACTATAAATACGACAAAATCCTTCGCGAAACATACGTAAAAAAATGTGAACAATATCAGAGCGTAGAAATATACGGTTTCCTTATGACGCAACGCCCTTGGCCACTTGATCGTATATCCGAACGACTTACCTTTACGAGCTCGAAGACATATAAAAAAGGGAAAGAAAAGGGGGAAAAAGAATATATTTTCTCTCCGTTTTTCCCGTCATCTCGCGAACAGGAGACAAGAAACCGTATACTGAGTCTTGTATAATGTCATAGATGTGT